CTATAAGTATTCTCTATCTCCTCAAACTCATGGTTCATTCATGTAGATCATAATTTCAATTGAATTTTCATTGTAACGCGTACTATACATTTTCCCATGATACTCTCAGATTTTTCTCAGTACTCTATGGTTATCAGTCATATTCCGATGAATACCATATTTTTCTTTCGGCTTGTTTGGTGTTACGGCACTAAATATTAGATTATAGTTGTCGGTCTAAGATAAGTATGATAGTTGATGGCTATTTTCATTAGGAATGGTTTTCTATTAGGTTATTTATTTATTTATTCAAACACATACATATTGGTACAAAGGGGCACCAGATATATATGCGCCACACTTTTTTTGTGTGAGGGCTATGATACTGCCCGGGTGCCCAAACCGAAGCAGGTGGTTTTCTTAGGGGTTCACAACCGGAGCCTTTGACCTAAAGGTCTGATCCACAAGGCAGTGGAGCATCGTTAGGAGATGCAGTCGCATGATATCCGGTGACCAATAATTGGTTCATACGCCATTTGTTCCCTCAGGATACTGAAGCCCATGTGCGTCATGGGTTTTCCAACTCCCCTAGGTGGACTATCCATAGAAAGTATCAGACAATTGTTTTGTTCTTGTCCCAGACTCCTCAACATTAAACATTGGCTATTAACCTATCTCCTACAGTCATTGTATTCGTGTTATTTTTTATTCAATACAGTTCAAATCAGATTTACATTAGAATCAACTATTCTCATTTGAATTCTTTTATATTTTTATTCCTAATAAAACAGGCTCATATTGCAACTGTTACGTTTTATATATTAACTTGTAATTTCTTTTATGGAATAAACTGGAGCATCTAAAGAACTTTTGAAAATTAACATAATTGCCACGTTGCAGATATACATCATTCTATGATTTTCAATTAATCTTTAGCTAATATCAGTTTATCGCAAAAATGATTAGATTCGAACGTAGTATTGCATTCATTCGTTTTCGTTAATATCATATTTGTTCACTGACACATTATTAACAGTTGTATGATTTGTGTAGATCGCTGAATTTTGTAGTTTACATTACGTACTAACCTTATTTAGGCATTCATTTAAAATTGAAAAGTTATGGACAATACGGTGGGGGCCTGTTTGAATACCTGGGCTGCCCGTTAGCGTTATTTAGATATTTCAACAAATTATCTTTTTTTTCTTTGTTTTAATACATCATTATGTTTATTAATCGCACCACCTATTCAGGTGCGTTTATCATAAGTTTACGACTTTTCGCTTCACATGTTACAAAAAAGTACATTCAGCAACGTAGTGGCTGGAAATATGCATAGAAAAGAAAGAACTTTGTTCAGATGTCGATTCCTGATTGTCCAACAACTAACTGGCGATCACTCAATATTTATTGTCAGGATCGATCAAGAAATAAGAAATGGAAACTTGTTGAAATACTTTGTGCTGATAATTCTATATCGTACCAAAAATATAATATTGAATAAAGCTAATAACAATAATAATAATAATAGTTGTATACACCCACGATTACGCTAGAGACCGAATCTTGGACCTTGAGGTCTACAGCAACTACTTAACTTTTAGATCACTGAGTTGGTAACCGATCGATTACATTTCTACCTTGGATAAATTTGTGGTGTTTCGCACCCATCTCAATAGATGACTACCTCATACGCGACGTATGTTCATTATCATTCTGTAATTTATTTACTTTTGTTTGATAAATTAATTCGGTCGATTCTTACCAAAAACAAAAATGCTTTAATATATATCGATCGACCTTTATGCTTTTCAAACTTGCACTTCATCTTGATTTGTTTATTATATGTGAGACAATAAAATGCTAGAAACCAATCTATTCTAATCAAAGTTAACTGTCGGATTTTGATCCATTAATAATAATAATTATTATAGCGAAATAATGATATATTTGTAATATCTCAATTAGTAGTGTGGTGTGGTCTACTTATATCTATATAAGTAGTATATGGTGTGGGTCAGACATAGAATGTATTTTGGCAGAAGACCGATGAAGAAAGAACTGAAATGAAGCGCAATCGTCTGGAAAATGCATGAGCAATGGAATAAGAGAAGAAACAGTGAAGATTGAAACAATTGGTTGTTAATTTGCAAATTGACTGTTCATTGTTTGGTTATCAGAATTTACTGAGATAGTCTGTAATTTTTGCTTAAATACATTCGATTGTCCCCAACTAGTGTTCTGTTCACAACAGTAGAAGTTTAGATTTCTAACGCCTCATGACTTGACGGAAGTCACTTCTTCAGAGTAAATAAATAAATAGCCGAATTAAATTAATGCAAGTTTAAATAGAGTAAAGGAACAAGGTGGAATAATTATTTCAATGAAAATATGTTTGATTATGTCAATCTCATGTGGATCTTTTTTGGTCAAATTCATTCTGTATGGGACATCACTGTATTTATATGTATGATGGTGGGTATTATAAATGTGTAATTCATAATATAAAGGAGTAGAGTTGAGATCTGAGTGTGTGCGGGTTGTGTGGGAAGTGAACAGCTATATGTAGTTGTTTGGATAAACACTTCAAGTTAAATAAATAGCCAGGCCTTCTTTCTTATTGGGGGTATATTGATTCGACACTATATGAAACACTTCATCTACTCGCCTCTTTTTATAGTCAGAAAAAGCTTTCTGAGTTTTAATATTTTTTAATATCTATTTGGTGGTCATTGAAAATCACATGTACTGGTATTGGCGATTTGATTTGTAGATTTTCCAACTCTACAGGCTTACGAGATCTTTTTGTGTGGCTTAAGTGTTACTTGGCACAAATCGAGATTTCTGGGCAAGACTCCGCAATATAGATTGCATCATAATCGACACAATCTAGTCTATAGACAAAATTATATGTGAATGTTGACGCGATCTTATCATTCATTTTAACTAAAACATTTCTAAGAGTGTTGGTTGTTTCATAGAAAGATTATTTTTGTATGTTTTCTAGATGCTTACCTTGTCGGCAAGGTAAAATTTGATAGCATTTCAAAGTATTTCATTAGAATTGTTATTTAAAGATGCATCGTTTCTTTTTAATATACTTTTAATAATATTCATAGGAAAATGTTATAGTTATAGTATTGTCTAACACTGCATTACGTTTTTATGGGCTGCTAAAAATTCACAAACCTGATATCTCACTAAGACCCATAATGGATTTCACAAGTACCCTCTTATCTAATTATCTAAGCGGTATACTGAGGCCACTTCAAGACAATTTACATAATGTCATTAAAGATTCATATGAGTTATTTTATTATTAACTTTCTACCTAATGCTCAGTTTGTTTTTAAATTATCAAGTCAAACTTTGGCAGTGATACCAATTATTATTTTGCGAAATTGTTTAAATGTGAATCGAAAATGTGTTTTTAGAAAAACTAAATTAACTTTTATATTGAATGTTGCCAAAGGAAATAAACGAATAAATAATCCATAAAATTTAGAATACTTCAATTGAGAAGTAACAAATATTCCTAACTTTGTCTTAATATACTCCACTTTTTTTTCTAATATCTCCACACTGTCTTATTCAAAACTGATCGAAACTTTAGGATATTTTTACAGGATCTTATCAGTGATGTAATCTAAAGGTTGATTTTTCACAAAAATGGAAAGTTGTGTTCTTCTTTTTGTGTTTTGTTTCCTTTCCGTTTCTTTTTCTCTCTATTTCTCTTCATTCGATATATTCAGAAATGCGCGTGCAGTAAAATTTAGGTCATAAAAATAACAAAAACTTTGTTTTAATTAATTTTGACTGTTGTCGTAACTGTTTATATCCCAAGTATATTTGCCTTAACCTAATTATAAGCATGTATTGTTTGTTTTGTGTCAGGTGTTTTGAATTTTGGTTTAGAAGGAATTTTTAATTTGTCTGATTTGTTGTCTCGATTGTGTCTTCTAAAGTGAAACTCTATTGGTAAGTAAATAAAAGCGCGAAATGCAAGTCAAGATTTTCTAACATGTCTATAATTATTCATTATGTAAGGATACTTTAGAGTTTGCATCACGAACTGAACTTAGTTTATTATTCCCTGTAAATCAGTAATAACTAAACGGCTGTTTTGTTTTTGTATGATACTCCACAGCAGTGTGCATTTACAACCCCACAAAAGATTGAAACTAGAACCTCTAGGTTTCGTGGTATTCTCTCAACATTTTGTCACATTTGTGACTTCAGTGAGTTAGTGGTATTACTGCACCACGTAAATATCTCTCACCCGACATTGTTAAGATCCATTTGTCACGGCTTTTCACTAAAACTCCTAACAACGCCTCTCAAAATTAGTCACTAGCGAGTGCATGAGAATTGTCAGTGTAGCGTTTTATGGAGAATATATACATATATAATCAGTAAAATATAATTAACGCTAGTAAAATCATTACGATAACACTTGTTTTTATTCTATAAATTCAACAACCTTCAGTTTCTTAAAATTATCATACTGTATTCTCACTGTCTTGTATGTATCCATAAAGGATTCATTTCGAATTTCAATCAATATATTTTGGCCGAAAAGTTAAGATCTTTAGTTTTAGTTACAATTTCTGATGTATGAATCGTCACCAATTAAAGTTTACGGATGCAAATTAATTAATTGTTTACCAATATGTATTGTCACTCGTTCGAAATTATTTTACGATGTTAATCGGCATATTTATTGTTCAACAGTGCTTTCGTCTGTTCACATGCTGCAGATAATAATTTGAGTCACTTTTAAAAATATTCAATAATTCAATGGATAGTGGTTCCGGAATATTTTACCTCATCGTATTGTGTACGAGATGAAAATTAACTGTTGAGAATGTTTTATATTCGTCAAACGCGTTAATTATTTGAAGAATACCATAGTTTTTTTTAGGTTACTCCGTCATATCTTTGAACTCCCCTAAGGTTGCCTTACAACGCATGTGTTGTGTTTTATTTAATTTTCATATATACTTTTCTAATTTATTTTTTAGGTAAGATAAAATATACAGAAGAGGTTTATGAAGCCTGTATGGAAGCATTCGATTGTTTACCGTTGGCAGCTTTGATGAATCAACAGTTTTTATGTGTTCATGGTGGTCTTTCTCCGGAAATTCATACTTTGGATGATATACGTCGTGTAAGTTTGTATTTTATTGTCAACTCTCGTTCAATTTTATTATCGTATGTCATTTTGAAGTTAATAAATTTGTTTAAATATTTATATGCTTGACCAACAAATTTCTGTCGTTACAAAGCAACTATTAAACAACTCTTAGGGTAAAGATATAAATATTTTATATTTTTGCCATTATAGATGCCTAGTCAAACTGTTAGAAAATGAAATTAGAATGTAGTTCATTATTACTCATCTGTAGATGGTATCATTGGCTAGTTTTATTCTATTATTTCAGTTTAATGGTCAATGAATTTTGATATTTGAGGTTTTTACCTGTTTAACATCTTAGCTTTTTCGACCGCTTAGTTTAGCTTGCTTTTTGGGGGTTCTCCTTTACTTTGGAGTTTGAGTGAACCTTGTTTACTCATGTTTATAGATACCTGAGTGTCATGTAAAGTCTCTAATTCTTGGAAAGAAATGAATTTTTAGATCTATTTTGGAGGAAAAATGAGGTGTATTATACCCTCTTGGGTTTAAGGGCTTCTAAACCATTACTTTTAAGCTGTTTCAGATGGAAACGCTGACTTGTATACAAGTATCGTGCATTTTTACAAATATCAACCACACTCGAAGTAACCTCCATTTATAAGTGGAATCAGTTTTACCTCGCGTTACAGACATGCTACTCATAACTAACTGCACTTTTAAATCATAAATTAATTAAATACATGAATATGATGCTACAGGTATCTTATCTGATTCACATGTTCATCGATACTTGAAAATAAAGTAATATTTATATACATAGATGAAAATTACTAAACCAATCAATAGTGTTTATTAGTTCATGATAACTTTAAAATAGGTTACATAACTAAACTTAATAAGTAAAATGTATTAATTGCTTGGTATACTAGTAGTGATCAGAATAATAACAACTTGTATAAGCGTTCGAACACAGAAAGTTGGTTAGAACTTGACAAAATAAACATTAAAGTTACAATCATTAGAAAAATACTAAAGTTACGGAGTAAAAAGCGTTTAACTATTTAAATAGTGAAGCATATTTATGAGAAGTGAGGTGGCAATAAACAATCAAAGATGTGAAAAATCGGTAAAATTGTTTGTTAAGCCAAGGAAAGGGATAAGTGTGTTACAAATTCCCTTCTAAATACATAGACTTGGATTGTAGGTTCGAATCCCTGCTATATGTAGGAGATGAAATTGATTTTCTTTGGGAAATAACAGTGTACGATAAATTACATGAAATGATTCAGTTTTAATTACTACTTGACCATAGTCTATCAAGTATAATAAAATAGAGCTACGTATTATCTTTGTTTGACTTTTTACAACATAATCTGATAAGGATCTAATTGAAGACAGTATTGTTTACTTTATGTTTTGTTCTTATTTACATCATGGGAAATTTCAATATTTTAAGTTGTAATGTTTCCAAAAATGTTTTAATCAGAATCATCCAAACGGAATTTTTTAACCCGCGCCCGTACCATTGAATCAAGCACCACAAAACTGATTTCACAACGATACACCGAAAATGTATAAACACCCAAGCATTTTTCCCTGTATCATCCTCAGTTGGAGTGGGGAATAAACCTTTTGTTTTCTTTTGTCCTCTTATCTTCTTGGGTGCTGGGTCAAAAGTTATATGGGTCATAGTGTAAGTTCTTTTAAAAAATATTTATGTGAGTTCACTAATTGCGTTAAGCTTTGTATTACTATTGGATTGATATTTCGAATTACTCATCTAGCGCCGAGTCATCACACTTTTTTAGGATAAAATTTGAATTCAGTCTAATGATGTGAAAAAAGAAAGACATCCTCTGACTATTGGGTAATAACCGTTTTTATAATGTCTTGTGATCACTTTTCAAATATTGTTACTCAACTTGGTGTCTCGACAGTGTGATGTAAATTATCTGATCGTAGGTAATTGCTGACTAAGGGCAGTAAACCTCTAAGTAACATCCTATGTTTTTAGTTTATACTAGTACTTTTATAGTCATTCTGGCTTACTTGTCTAATTAAATAACCTTTAATCACAGAGTCTCCATTTCGAGTTCTGTAACAGTAAGTTCAGTTAAAATGGTAGGACATGTATGGATATGGGTGTCATATCATCCGTCTCCAAGTACGCTAAGTAATTGACTACAGAAGTCGTTAAGTTTAGTGGCTATGACATTGACTACAGGAAATCGTCGAAAACCTTGTGTTCAGGTACTTTACTCAATTACATTTGACAATATAACAAGATGAAGGCTGATATCACCACATAAAATTGTTTGTTTACTATATTACCGTTTCCTAGTTTATTTATAACTTGATGGCATATATATATATACTCTATAATATATAGAAAGGTATTATGAAATGGATCCTGTTTAATAATTTATGAAACTTAAGTTTAATTGATACAGATTGTACGTTATGAAAAGACATATTTGAGTGTTAATACCATTTTGAAAATTTATTTTTTACTATACTAACTTTTCGAACTTTTTACTTTTTTTTCTGATGGAATATGTACACAGTCTGTAAGATAAAAAATCAAAAGTTCTTGGTTTGATCCAAGGCAAATATTTCTCCCTACGAGATACATTTGTTAAGGGAAATTTTTTTCCTCTCGAGGCATGTAGAATTAATCTTTGACCATATAGCTATAATTGAATATGTTTATGTTAAATTAATCTTGTAACTACAACTGTTGAAAATGTCAGATTGTAATAGGTCTGAACTTGTTGGCATGTTTTGTTCAAGTATTACGTAACAATATTTAGAAGATATTTGGACGATCCTATTAATCAAATGCACTTACAAGTTTCTGTCAGTTGTTTATTCTAGCTACTCATAGTGTAAAATGTCGTTATAAGATGCTTTTTTTTTAGTTGTAAAATAATATTAGGGTTTATGGGATTCTTGTTCTTGACAATTTAGTCTACAACCTCTTTGATTTTCGAAGAAGTTGTATATATTTATAAACCGACGTCAAGACTTGAATTAACAGTTTTACGGGCATTCAGGATCGAGCATTTAGAAAAAATTGAACTTAAAATTATATTTCTGAAAACCTCAATGGCTTGAGTTCATTAGTTTCAACGTCCTGTTCTGTTCTTTTGTTCAATCGTGTTTAAGAAGATATTTAACATCAGAATTATCAATGATAAATAAAACCGAAAAGGAACACTACGCTAAACAAATATCTATTTAATCATATGATAGCTCTGATTATAATGTGAATGTGAATAAAGTCGTGAAGTACAATGGTGATGTGTACTTAAGTTATTTATTTATTCATTTATTATTATTATCAAAATTTGTTAATCGTATGTAACCTGAAGCTTTGATTAGGGTCACACTATCAATTCTGCTTATTAGAAAATTAACAGTTGGTAGAGATATAATGAGCTTGTCAAGGCATATGTCGTGTGCTACTTTGTTTATCAATAAAAAAATCTACTCACTAGTTAAGAGTGAGTTGTTTACCATGGCTTTCTCTGTTCAGTGTAGAAATGAATATTAGGGTTAAATGTGGTATTAAATTCTAGTTCATCTCAGACTACTTGGATATCCATTTGTTTTAGTTTCGATAGTCAATAATGAATTTTCTTCATGCACAATAAATTTTTGAGTTATTCTGGGTTTGTGTAATACAGTTTGATACACAGCTTATAAAAGGATGCAATTCTATCTTTTAAGCCTTATATGTTCTTCCAGTAATTTGAGAACATACTTCGACATTGAAATCACTTATTTTAAATCTCTGATGTTTTCCTAAACTTAATTTTATATTCAAGTTGTTGTGACTTTAAGCCCTGGCTAATTATCGCGTGATTTATTCGCTAATCGAAGTACGACTTATTCAATCTTAGTACTGTGCTAAACCAATGACGTTCGACCGGTATGAGTAGCCTAGCGTCCTCATCAGTCCTCTGTTCGCCTAGTCCGTCCGTTGAGTCCAGAACACTATGCGAATCATCTATTACAATTCAAAAATACTTGGCTTATATGCCAGCCAAACAGACCGCATCACACCATAAAATAGGAAATAACATTTACACAAGATCAAGCCAAAATGTGGCTGTGAATGTGGGAGACTGTAATCAATAAACTGAATATAATTTAGGAACAGTAAATCGTATAATAACAATCTATAAGTCAAAATGAAGCTTATAATGAGGGAAATATAGATATGCATAACCTAGTTCCTGAATAGTTATACAATAAGAATATATATATATATATTTCAAGGTTTTGCTTTCATACTATTAAATATTACAGAAAAGATAGTGAAACAGCCCTTATCGATTTCACAAGTCAGGGGACTATAATCCAGAAAATAAGTGAATTCTATATAAGCACCTATTTTTCCACCAATTATGTGGTTTAAATGCTCTTCAAGAAATATGTATGCTGAAAAAGGTTTTAATTGATCGAAGAGTGAGTGGTGTATAGGTTAAGCGCTCACGTATTTGTCCTAAGATTCTAGGTCCAATCTGCGGTGGGATCGTGGATGTTAACTGCCGAAGAGTCTTATGCCAGGACGAAACAACTGCCCAGCGTCCCTTTATTTTCGGTGGTTGTCTAGCTAGTATCAGCTCCTTATTTAAACTACCAATATTGATTTCTCACAGTACTTGATCATGTTTGATTTTCTGTTAATATTTTGTTTATAAACATGGTATTTTCATGAAATGCAGTGTTTTTCTGGCTAGTGTTTTTGTCTTCAATCCCAAGTCATTCGAGTATTTAAGTCAACAATTCGGTCTCGCATACAGCCATCAATCTACCTCATTGTGTTCATGATATATCTTCTGTCGGTCAGCATACTATTCATTCATTTTAATAATCGAAAATTCTTGCATAAAAACATGAGATTTTTTTCTGTAATAATATGTGCGTAATAGTATACACTGTTGTTATACACAAATATGTTGTTATGAATGAGTGTTTATACACAAGACAAACTATGGACTTGGACTGTATGTATGTATATGATACTTCACTTCATTGGTGTTGATTTTCGATGCCTAAGACTTATTATTATTAACATTATTATTATTATTATTAATTGGATTAGCATTGTGTCTTAATCTTATCAGGTAGAAATGTTTTACTCTGATTGTATCAATTTTATTCCAAAACTGCTTGTCTTATTCGATGTTTACAACATTCTGATGTATATATTTGTGGCTAAAAGCTTATGGTTAACATGATTCATCGTCCACCTTCTTTAAATAACTTTCCATTCACAACGCACATACTTGAAAACAAATAGTTAATCTAGTTTTCTAGTATTTGTACCTAGAAGAGGATGGTGAGTAGCGAGATTCATTTTAATCTAGGTATAGAAGGAAGGTAACCAGTTCAATTAATCGATAAAGGAGATCTCGATTACATTCTAGTTTTGTTTTTCTGCATTATCTATTTGTACTTGGGAACATAGTGAACTTGTAACAAAGTCAGTAATGTAAGATGTATTGATTGTCCGTACATATTCTTTGGTATGTTGTGAATTAATTTCCAATTTTAACAAATGATTTATGTGGAGTTATCTTATCAAAAATATAGCCATTTTTCTCATGTTATGAGTTGATAATTTCTTTTATTGTTACATTTGTTTTGTCATATTGATCAATCATTTGCTTCCTTGTGTTTATTTGTCGTCTGCTGACCTCCTCCTTTGTTAATTAAGATGGTTATTCATTCATAGTTATTGTTGTTATTGGCATCCGATATATTTGTTTCCACGTGAATATGTAGAGTGTCGTCATAGGAACATCATTAAAGTACTGTTTTTCTTAAATTGTTTTGGTTACCAACTGTTAACATTAGTTAGGCAACAACCTTAAGAAACTAATGAGATCATTCTACATTTCTTTGTTCTTACTTCCTCGATCTGTCCAGCAGTGCTCATTCATACTCCTGTTACGAATTGTGAGCTCCGAATTCCTAGAATTTCATGGCGTAAATGGTTCATTTTTTAATCCACTGATTTGATTTACCGATGGTCCATATTTATAAATTTATATTAATTCGGTACTTCGTAATTATTTATACTATTATGTTTGTTGTTTCTATGTAATTGTAAAACAGTCAAGAAACATTGTGTTATATGTTTTTTCATTGTTGTAAAGAAAGTTCATAGTTTATGTTTAGTAGTTCGAATTTTCTCGTTTTTGATAGTTAGGACTACCATCAATTAGTCTGTCACTATTTGTACTATACTCTGAGCGAATTGCCTCGATTTAGCATTATGTTGCAGGTTTCTCAGTATATTTGGTATGTACCTAGCAGTGGAAGCGTTTAAAGCGAAAGGTATAGAGTTTGAGTTTAATTGTTAACATCAACACACTGGAATCAAGGAATCCAGCTGATGAGTCATGTATTAGATGAAATATTCCTCCTGGATACCATTCTTAGCCACGTACTTAAAGTATATTAATGTTAGAATGTCTGACTTTCAAACCATGAATATATATTTTTATACATATTCATTCTGTTAACTCAGTTTTCTGTGTTTGACTAAGAACTCCATGGTTCTAACAATGTCATCAATGTAAACTGATTGCTTTGTATTTTCTAAGGTAATGATAATGGGATGATACCATTAACGAGCTATTTATTCATATTTATTCCATTGTTTAGAATTATAAAGGGACTTAATTGTACCAACTTGATTTTGTTTCGTCATTATATATATATATATATATATATATATATATATATATATATATATATATATATATATATATATATATATATATATATATATATATATAGAAATGTATATATATAATTCAAGCATGTCTAGGCAAACTGAAAACGTCAAACCATATATGTAGTATTATTGCCATAGCATAAAGTCGAGTGTAATACAATGTATATTTCACACATTGATTGTTAATTATAAACATTTTAGTTTAACTCATTTTTCTTGATATTGACTGTATTGGAAATGCCACAAATCGGTAGAGATTAATCATTTCAACGTTTTGTTAATAATACATGAAGTTTTGTACCAAATATATCTTCCTTCTCTATGTTTTGTTTCACTGATAGATGGTTAAAAAGTTTTCTTTCGCAGTTTGTTAGTGTTTTTCCCTTGTATTTTTTACTATGACCTCTTCACTCAATTTTTTCATTGAATTGCTAGAAACTGTCATAGATCGGAATGGTACTAGTCGTATGTTGAGTTAGTTTTATTGTTCTTAAAACACGATACGCTGCACTAATATATATTTCTAAGATTGTCTTCTGACGACATTTTATTATTTATATTCTAAAGTTACGAATATTTCTTTTTTTCTTTGACAGATTGATCGATATAGAGAACCGCCTGCGTTCGGTTCAATGTGTGACCTTTTATGGTCTGATCCTTTGGAAGATTTCGGGAGTGAGAAATCATTAGATCATTTCTCTCATAATTGTGTTAGAGGTTGTTCTTTCTTTTTCAGGTAAGCTTGACTTATTGTCATTCCTTTTATATACTGGTTAAATTTATTTTGAAGCTGTATTTTTTCTTATTTTAATTAAGAGTATGACGACTGCTATCTATTGGGTTGTATTTTTTCTCTCACTTTTAATTATCTTAATTATTTTGCTATTTAATCTCATGAATAAAGTTTACCTACATCGAACAGTTATCTGTTTGTTATCGCTATTCGGTTTTTAAAAAAAATTATCTTCGTTGTTGCCATTGGAGTAATTCGAGTTACATCTACAATACATGTTATGTTTGGTATAAGGATTCTTTTTTTCCCATGAATCTTGAAATTAAAAAAAGAAATTCTGACCTAGTTATTCATATATGCTAGTTGTAAATAGTCAACAATATAAACAACTTTATTCCGGTCTTTCGTGTACACTTTCGATGCTTACCGTCCTGTTACGACTATGTTTTCTGTTATTCGTTAATTAATGGAAGTTTATTGAACTGTCTATTTTATTGGTGTTCTCTGTTCAGCATAGTTTTTCCATGAATTTCTAGAAAGTTTTAAAACCTTGATCTAAGAAGTCAAAATTGTCAAGAATAAAGCAATAACATGTCATTGGTTATTACATGGCAATCACATCAAACACTTACTAAAGCTGTGTATATGTAGTGCGTCGGATTTAACTAAGTACTTTGTAGTAATCGCTTTCTTCATTTCACTTGGAGTCATGAATATATACAACTAAGACAAATGAACTACACAATGCCCTGTTATTTTCAAAGTTTCTCTCATGAAGCAGTGATTTAATGGTTAAAGCCCTCTGTTTTCAATTAACGAATACCAGCTCCGATCCTCACTCCACCTACTTCTGTTTAAGCATCCATACGATGTCAGTAGCCTTCATATAAACACTGTGATTGGAAACCAAGTACAATGTTTCTTTAATTGACTCAAATTTCTGACAATTGCATTTTAAAAAGTCTACGAAATGCCTTAACTTGACAGTGTTGTGTCAAAATATAGTTTTATTCAGTAAATACATCTTTAATTTCTGTTCAATTACTTAATACTATTGAGTGCCAGCTGACGATTTTTCGGTGTGACTGACAATGAATTCATATTTTATTGTATTTTGTAAAGAGTTTGTCTCATTGTATATTAAATCAAGTAATATTTATTTTTCTTAGAATAGTAAAACGCTAGATTGCTAAGTAAATGTTAATAAACATAAGTCAAAGTAAAAATCGGTGTTTTACACCCACTGGGTACTTTATAACAAACTATTATGAGTTGTTTATCATGTTTGTAAAACTATTATAACATCTCTTTCCAAATATCATACAGTAGACTCATATAAGTACCCTAAATCCTATATTTACCTGGAATGTTTTAGGCTATGTGTTGCTGATCTGCAAGTAACTACTGTATGTCATGTCATAATATCATGCAGACTAAATTTTAATTAGCCAAGTTTAATAGTAATCAGATGCTGAAATGTCACCCATACTTCAAGTCACTAAACAAATAATGTTGGTACGATATGGAATAATCATATAGACTATATCGATTGTGAGACAAACACGCGCCAATGGTATCATATGATTTTCGTTTTAGATCGTGAATTGATTAATAATAGAAAATAATGGATCAATCGATTCAGGCTTGTCTAAAGGTAACATGCTCTCCGAAAAATTTGGATTTCCTTAATTTGATGATTGTTAGTGTTATATACGCACCATGCTTATTATTATCTCAAATTAGAATGGAAAAAACTCCTCCTGGAGCCCCTCTGGGATTACTGCCGGTCCCAAGCCCGGATAAAGGGAGAGTGTTGGGCATGGGGTTAGCGACTCCATCCCGTTGGAAACTAACTCGCTAAAAAAACTAACCAGAAAAAATAATTCAAGCAATTTAAACTCTGCTCTGGGTGTTAGAAGGTCTTCATTTAGAAGAGTTATGACGCCTCATGGTGAAAGCTGAGTTCCTTCGGAAGTTACGAGGCCGATGCCTCTTCTAACAGCGAGAGCAACCATTTATCTAGGTGCATGGGATGCTCGTACAATGTGGGAGACCGGGAGAGTCTTCCAAATTGCTACAGAAATGAGGAGATACAACCTGGAAGTGCTTAAAATCAGTGAAACACATTGGACGCAGGTTGGACAACAACGAATAACTTCAGGGGAGCTTCTTTTATACTCCGGTCATGAAGAAGAAAATGCCCCACATACACAAGTAGTTGCATTGATGTTGTTCAAACAAACACAAAATACACTTATAGGCTGTGAATCTCGTGGACCCAGGATCATCAAAATCTCCTTTAAAACAAAGAAAGAGGGCATTACAATGAACGTCACTCAATACTATGCGCCTATCAACGACTACGATGAGGACGTTAAAGATCAATTCTACAATAGGCTATAGTCAATCATCGAGAAGTGCTCAGTGTCAGACAAGTTTGCTTACTCTCACCCTTTCTCTTTCTCCTGGTGATCGACTGCATAATGAAGACATCAGTATCTGGAGGGAAGCGCGGGATACAATGGACAGCTCGGATGCAGCTGGACGATTTACATTACGCAGATGATATGGCTCTTCTATCACACACGCAACAACAAATGCAGGAGAAGACGACCAGTATAGCAGTAACCTCAGCAGCAGTAGGTCTCAATATAAACAAATGGAAAGCAAAATTCTCCAATACAACACAACGTGCGCCAATCGAATCACACTTGACGGAGAAACTTTGGAGGATGTAAAAGCCTGTACATATCTGGTCAGCATCATTGATGAACACTGTGAATCTGTTACAGATGTGAAGGTGCGAATCAGCAAAGCAAGAGCAGCATATTTACAATTGAAGAACATCTGGAACTCAAAACAATTGTCAACCAACACCAAGATCAGAATTTTCAATACAAATGTCAAGACAGTTCTATTGTATGGAGCGGAAAGTTGGAGAACTACGAAAGCCATCGTTTAGGAGATACAAGTGTTTATTAACAGTTTTCTACGCAAAACACTTCGGATCCGTCAGCCGGACTCTATCAGCAACAACCTATGAGAAGAATGAACAACAACTGGATGGAACTAGAACGGCAGACCCAGGACAGAGTGGGTTGCAGAATGGTGGTCGACGGCCTATGTCCCATTGCGGTAACGCGTAAGTATGTAAGAATGCAAAAGCTGTTGTTCAGTACCCGTCGATTTTCAGTGATTTCTCAGGTGATATCTTTTTATGATGAAGTTATCTCCAGAATATTTTTGAATTCCCCAACCTAACGTTTTCGAACTTAAAGTGTAGTTCTCAATTCATCGATCCATGGTTTGGGCCTGTCGCAATGTATTAATATGTGATAGGATTAAATCATTAGTGACATATATTTTTATGTTCGTATTTTCCCGTTTGTTGATTAAAAAGGCTGCAATTGATAAGTCTCTTTTAGGTATTTCCACTGCAAGCCGGTCAACTTGTTATTGTCGTTTGGGTAAAAAAAATTAATAAAGATGGACATAGTCTGGCAATAGAATCCACATTTTTAGCGCAGGGGTCCCTTATACTTCCAGCCGCCAAATTCCAAATGCAATTAAATACGCATGATTTGAGTCTAAACATGTGCTAGAAAATAAACGGAAGTCTTTTATCAAGCCTCCCAAACACTGGCTGATGAGGATGCAGTTTGTTTTTATCCATCGTTGAGTCGATGGTGGGTGTCTTCATGTCAAATGATGTCCCTCATTATGCCTAAAGTTGTTACTTGCCAGAAATATATGATTATATAAGCATAGTTGCACGACACTGTTGCAATTTTCTGATCTCTGAGCCGCCCAAGTGTCTTCCGGTTTGGTTTAGCCTATCTGGTCAGGCATCAGGATCACCCGCCACTATTACTACACATGAGCGTGTAGCTTTTTGAAGGAATTTCGGAAGTTTCCTATCACATTCATGTTTTGCGTAATCGGAGCTACAATCAGTGGAAGCGTAAGCAGGGAAAACAAAGAGTCAACAGCGATTTTTTTATCTATCTGAGTTCTTAATGTCCCGTTTAGCCGGACAGCAGAACACAAGAGACTGTCTATGGGGTATCCAGTCTTGGAGAGCCTGTTCTACTTTTAGACTTCATGATATACATACATTAGTTTATTTATTTTATTTATTTAAACACATAAATATTGTTACAAGGAAGCACCAGATAAATATGCACCTCACAAATCACAAAACCTACGTTAGTAAGGCAACGGGAAGCAGAAGTAGGATCTACAAATACATAAAGGGTAAATCACGTCAGTTTTCTATATTGACGATTGAGGTCAAATAAATGACCATGCTTTGATCCTGTGTGCGCGTTTTGTAGATCCAACAAACATCGGTAACGTGAGATTCTAGAGTTCTAGCTAAAACAATCTGTCGTCCCATCTGACATGAGGTTCAAACGTTGAAAGTTCTAACATGTGGTTTACGGGACCAGGAATAAGATTTGGTGAAGTTGAATCATTCGAAGTTGTGGCGCGTTGTATTCAAAATGTTTGAGAAGGGTTATTCGTGAGTTAGGAGAATTAATAAGAGGTGAGATAGAGATATGAGCGCGGTTGTCACTTTTTGAGTGCCGACATCGTGGGAGGATATTTCTTTTTGAGGGATCTGAAAGGAAGCTGGGTTAGTGGTAGTGTTAGTGACCTGGTAGTGTGACGGCAAAGCCTAGAGGGTAACTACTTGAGGGATGTGTTACCTCCACACATCAAAAGACCATAACCTCTGGAGATGGAAATTAGTGGGTTGAGGTGTTGGCCTTCTCCATTTCTTCCGTATCTTTCCTCGTGAGAAGGTAGCATCGCCTAGATGCTAGTGGTCTGAGTGAGACATACCATTGCTATCGCTTCTCCCTGATCTTATGTTACTATTTTTACTCTTACTGTTCTCCTACCGACCTGCCTGGTATAGTAGAACCTAAAGGAATATGTGTTCCAACCACTATAGGTAGACTGAATAATAATGTTTGGGAAATCCGACTACCATATCAGGGTAACTGTAGCTGTCGGCGGATGACTACGCATTTATTCTGTCTTTACTTGTGAGTAATTTCGAGAGGCAAATCCCAGAGTTCCAGTGAAAATGTATGACTGAGAAATCAAGTCCAAACATTCTGAGAGTAAGATGGATGTCATCATTAACAATCGATTGTGATGTCGTAATTTTGTGAATTAAATGAAGCCACAACATTGATCTGAAGTTTTGGCGCTTTCCGTGAAACCTGAAGGCCCTCGTTTCTGTTCTGTATGTAGTCATAGGTGCACAATGCTAAAGAACCTCTTACTAGAATAAGGCAGTTATTCAAGGCTTCTTGGCTTCTAACGGTTGTTTATCTAAGGTCAGTCTGTGTTGCAAACTATGAAAAATTAACACACTGTGAACCCCTACTACTAATAATCATGTGCTCAGTAGTGACTAATTTCGAGAGGTAGCTTCTAGATTTATAATGAAAAGGGTTGGTTTGTGAAGTTTTACACTTATTTTCTAACTAATTATTAGCACTTAGCACTGATTCGCTTATTTTCATGTTACCATCATTTCATTCGCTAATGAAAATTTTTTTCTTTCTATGAGTAAATTTAAGTTCGATTTTTTTTCCAAAACCGTTTTATTCATCTGATAATTTTAGTTATTAAGAAATTAAATCTTATTGATTAACATGTTTACCTTCCAAAACAGTTTATTTCGTTTACTTCCAAATTTTTCGTTCTTTTGGTTTCTTCAATTGCTTCAAATGATTGCGTTCAAATCGACCTACTATATAGTTATGATGCTTGCTGTGATTTCCTACAGACCAACAGTCTTCTCTCTATAATACGTGCACATGAAGCTCAAGATGCTGGGTTAGTCGAAAATTTTTGTTATATATAAGTATGTACATTTAATTCATGTATCTGTCTATCTTTAACGGAGTACAGATTTTACATTCGAACTATTCATGCCGTATTGTTGACTTATTTCAACATTGTTTATCTATATACATCCAGAAAAAAATCCATTTCACACGTATTCAGGATTATTTTCATGAACACTGAGATTTGTATCTCTTTTTATCCAACTTTTCTTTAATTGTATAACATCATACTATAAATGTTTTATTTCAATTCTTATCTGTGGTCTTTATTTTTAGCCTAATTTCATTATATTGTGTTTATTAGTAACCTTTTTGTTGATTTCCCACTTGACCTTCATCAGTCTGAATTATTCTTTATTTCCCAAATATGCTTGATTTTCCCCATAGTATGTCTAGTCATTTTATGACTTATAATAGTATTGATTCAGAGCATACTTTTCTTTGGATTTCTATGTATTTTTTATACACCTTTGTGTAATACTGATGGATCTTTTATACTCTATTGAAATAATTCATTAGTCAAATAAGTCATTATATGCGAGTTTACGTAAATCATTTAAAAAAACGAAAGTCGGTTTTTATTCTTCTGGACTCGTTAGATAACAGTAGTCTGGTGGATAAAAGAGGGATAGATGAAGACATTATGCACATATCATATCACTCTGCTTATTTGAAACTTAAATAACAGCAGTAATAACAGGAATAATAATAGCAAACATGTTTGACTGCTATATTATTCTGCTACTATTATATAAGTCTGGTACCCATCATGGAACAAAGGCCACGGACCATGAATTTTCGAATAACTCCATTATGGGCTTTCCTTTTCAGTTGATCTCAGGTGATATTCATGTGCAGGTCTGATTCCTGGAGCTATGTGTTCTTTGGTGTGAATCTTTCCCTTGTGCACTGAAGATTCCAAGTTAAAGCTCTCTCTGTAATACATAGTATGTTTTGTCTATCGCCAGTGTCTTTTCTTAATTTGCTCTTCAACTGGTGGCTCGTTTATTCTCTACCTGAGGAGGTTATAGCTTATAATGTTTGTCCAATAGATGTGGTGTATTTTGTGTAGGAAGCTGTTTAAAAATGCATGTATTGTTATAGGTGTGTATGTGACAACCGAGCTAAGTGATCTCCAAGTGAAAGCGACGCAGCTGAGTTAAAGCTATCCACCGTACTCCGTGCTCCTCGTAAAATGTGGAGGTCTTCATAATCAAGCCGTCAGCTAGCAGAAAGAGAAAATGTGACAGTAGGCAGCCTTGTCTGACACCAGTTTTCACTTGGAATGCATCAATCTGTGAGTTGGCCTTCATGCACAACTTTGTAACGTAGTATGGCGTGGGAATTCTGTTTGGTGATGATGACATTCTTCCTCGGTACTCCATAGTATCGAGGACGGTTCTATAGGGTCTTCATATGCATGCTGTCAAATGCATCCTCGTAGTCAGGGAAGTTGTTGTATAGTGACCAGTTCCATTCAACTGACCGTTTAACAATGATGCGTAGTGTCGCAGTTTGGTCTGTACACAACCGAACCTTACAGAATCCAGCCTGTAAGGCTTGTAACTTGTTGCCAAGACATATCCTGAACTGAATAAGCTTGTTAATATTTTGAAGGAAGGCTGTATTAGATTTTCGTGGTGCTAATTTTCCCATTGTCGAACTCTTCTTAAGCTTGGCATTCACGTAAATTGTAAATTGCAGCTTTGACACATTGAGTAAAAAGCTATACTAAATTTTCATTGGTAATTCTTGATCTTATCTTAAGCAAAACTATATTTAATAAGATAATATACAATTCAAAAATTGCTCAAAAGGATTTTGTTGTTATTGTTGTAATGGTGATACACACTTTACAGACCTATTTTTACGTTTCCTCTGTAAATGATTATTAACAGTTTGCACTATTTTTTTTATTTTTCATTTCCATGTGAACGTATGTTTAGTTATCGTATGTATCGAAAGAATCAAGCCACTAATTTTCCTTCACTCATCACCATATTTAGTGCTCCTAATTATCTTGATGTGTATAACAACAAAGGTGAGCTGGATTTAATTATTTTAAATTATATTTTCCATTATTATTTCCAGTATATTGTGTATTTGTATATAAAGAGTCTTTCATAGAAATAATCTGGGTGTTAATAGTCATAGTTTCGTATGTGCTTCAACCGACCCATCTTGCATATTTTCACTGAAGAAACTGTTGCGAAATCATGATTGGATGGAAGAGTATGCCAAATCTAATTTTCAGTATGGGATTGTGGAGATTGTTGAGTTTTTGATTTTAAAATAAAGTTTAGTCAACTGACAAAAAAGATATAGACAAACTATATACATTGTGCAATGAAGACAAGTTAGATTTCATTGAGATCACGAATCGCTCAATGTTAGACCGATAATGAAAATCTGGAAGCACTGGACGGCCGTTTCGTCCTAGTATGAGACTCCTCAACAACTCGCATCTACGATTCCGCACGCGTGAGTCGAACCCAGGATCTTTGGTCTCGCGTACGAACGCTGAACCTGGAATCCCGCGTGCGGGATCGTGGATGCACAATGTTAAGGAGTTTCATACTAGGACAAAGCGGCCGTCCAGTGCTTCCAGATTTTCATTATCGGTCTAACATTGAGCGATTCGTGATCTCAATGAAATCTAACTTGCCTTCATTGCACAATGTATATAGTTTGTCTATATCTTTTTGTCAGTTGACTAAACTTTATTTTAAAATCTAGTTTATAATGTAAACCGAAACATCGGTTTAATAAAAAATGTGATTTCAAACGCTGAAGACTTACCGTTTCATTGCTTTATCATGTTTGCTTTTTTTTGCCTTACCAGTAAATTTTTATTGCATTATTCAATAACTTATCCATTTTTTACAGAAACTAGTTATTTGTTTGAAAAAAAAACGGAAAACTTATTTAGCATGCTGTTTACATTAGAATCCAGGGTGGCCATCTCGTCCTATTTGTGACTTGTTAGTTTCGAGCGTTTGAAGTAGAAGTGTGGTGTGTGCTACTGAAGTAGTGGGTTCGAGTTTCACTACGAAAATCAACGTTATTGTGGACGTTTATCCATTTGGGAGTCCAAAGTATGATCAAACTTGCATTCTGGGTTCTATTTCTAGTCACTTATGGAATATACTGAGAAACCTATAACATTCTATGTCGTGAAACTTCTCTCACCTGAACATATAGGATATAAAGACTGATCATTTTCAGTCCGTATTACTAACAACAGGAAACTAGAAACTATTATTAAAACAGGATGTAGTCTGCAAATATTAATAGATTGACGTTAGCTAAAGAACTATTGTAAACTGAAGACGCTGGTTTGTTTTTCAGAATCATGCTTTTCATTAGTTTGTACCTGTAAGCATCATTTCTCGGATTTAAACCCCAAATGTAAAATAAACACGGTTGTTTAAAACTCGTTTGGTTTTTCGTTAGTGCTCTACTTTTGGTATCAATTCGTGATATAAGTTCTTTAGAGGTTATTATCTCAGTGGGATTTTTTATTTCTTTTCATATTTAAAACACTACCACAGTTTCCTTTTAGTCAGCAAGATTCAGTTTCACTATTTAAGCAATCAACTTTCATATATCTGTATTTAGTTGTCTTTTCATCTCATTCTTAATTAATCCAACCCATGAGTTACACTATAGTTCATATAAATGACTCAGTCTATTTTTGCTTTGTCTAAACTATTATTATTATTACTATGCTTTTGGAGAATATATTGTCATACTACTAATCAAGTTACTTGCATTCATATTTATTTACCAGAATGAATTATTTTCATTTGTTGTTGTGCTCTACTCGTAACCTGATGGTGCGTAGATATTGTAAACACTTGGTACATATTTTTCCGGTACCGTATTTTACTTTGATTGTTGTTCTTGTAAAAAGCAAAATACTGACAGCACTTTTCTTTGTTTTCAATAGCTGCCATACTTAAATATGAAAATAATACAATGAATATACGACAATTTAATTGTTCACCTCATCCTTATTGGCTTCCAAACTTTATGGATGTATTCACTTGGTCTTTACCATTTGTCGGTGAAAAAGGTTAGGTTTTTAGTATAACATTCGGACTGTGTATATCACTGTGATTAATGTAATTATCTATTGCTTTAATTATTTTATTTTGTTAGGCTTTTTCTTTTCAACTCTCCATCTCTTTCTCCACTGTCCCGTTCTCTGCCTTCCTTCACAAAAATAACTACTAATATTACTACTGAATAAAAAAGGTATGATATAAGTTGTGAAAAGAAGGGATTAAGAGTAAGTATTCAGCTGTAAATAAAGATCCAAATCAACAAACTTTGATATTGATTTCATTTACTTTTTTCATTGTATTTATCTACCCAAAAATGATCTCTGCTATAAGATGAAGTGTTGTTAATTCAGTTCCCAAAGAGAAAGATAGAGAATTATGTGTTATTAGCTTTTAAACAATCCGCTATTATTTTCATTTTCATTATGATTATTGGTATTATGATGATTTAATTGGTTTTCATTGTTTCTACTTCATTGAATTATCTCATTTGTTGTTAGTATCAATTGATACTTGTTTATGCCCATATGGTGGATGTTTATGTGTGCGTGTGTATGTCTATTCATTATATACATGTACATTGACGTATTATTAAGTTGCGTTTAACATTATTTTAATTTTTTTTCTGCTTTTGAATAAAATATCTATCATATGCCACATTGGTTGATGGGAAACAACCAATCAGCATTTAGGAAATCTTAATCAATGATTTTCTTAATGATTTCAACGTTAAACAAAAATGTTTTTCTGTTCTCTCTCTTAATTTTGTCATGATCAGATATTATATTATATTTTAGTTGCGTTGTTCTTTGCCAATAAATTTTAATGTTCTCGTAGCCTTTTTATTGAGAGTTATGTCATGAATTATTTGAATGTGATAAATTCTGGTTGCAATACATGTCTTTTTTTGCTGAAAGAATAACTTATTTCTTTTTGCGGACCCTGTGAACATTGAATTTAACTGCCAGATTATTGTGCCTAGATCGGAATATGAAAACGATGATAACTTTTCACCATTCTAACATTTTGTACATTAACATGACCACTACTCATCGGTGTATTAGGAGAGGGAAAGGGTAAAGTGGATTTTGGTGAAATGAACGTCTTATTATTCTAAGTCTTTTAATTGAATATCTATGTTCTCTACTTTTATCTTCATACTAACAACACTCTCTGAAAAAAACCCACTTGCAATCAAATATTTCCTAGCGACTTTTTCGTATTTACTGTTTAACTGTGTGAACGGAGTATTGAATTATTTCTTCAGACTACTAGACTTTTTGGAAATTTTCAAAATGTCTACACAATAATAGTATGACTGTACTAATGCTACTAATATCACACTCTTTATAAATTTGCTGACTTTCATCTATGGTCTAAGGGTGGTGACTCTATGCCACATCTGTGGTAAGATTTTATCATTCTAGTCTGTTTATTGCATTACTCAAAACTGTGTCCGATTCCTCAAATGTACTTTAGTTGACTATATAGACCACAAGATCTAAATAGGGTATTATCCTTCTAATGAGACCTTGTTCAAATCCTTGGTGGGTTTGTAAATAGTTACTTCTCAGGAGTTATAACTTAGGACAGAGGTGTTCACTAGTTCTTGAATTTTGATCATCTTTAAGCTGCAATCAGTTTATGTTGACCATTGCCTGCGACATATACAGATGTCAATATCAAGCTACTTTATATATATATATATATATATATATATATATATATATCCGCTTGTATTACAATTAAAATTCCTCAGTTTTCTGTAGCCTAAGTTATTAAGTATTTGTATGACATTAATTGCTATTTATTTGTGAAATTATAAAACTAGTCCATCCACTGTTTCCAATCAATATCCATGGAGCTGTAAAAACTAATTTTTCTCGATACATAACAGTTAACTCAACATCGTTTGACATTCTAGACCGAAAAGTTACTGTTGATATATTCCTGCATTAGATGGTTATCTAACATGAAATTGGTCGAAGCCTCCCTCCAATCTAGTAACTGAACCCCAATTACTTTACCCACTAAATCACTGAGGGTAATAAAAGATATTGTTTTCTTTTGGTTATATCATAGTACTAATTCCCGCATTACTGTCTCATTTCTATATTCTATCCTATTGTTTAGCCTATTACTCCTATTGTTATCACTACTAGTTATATTAGTAGCTAGTATTTAGCAGTAGTATATATTCTTCCAAGCCATATACTAATTTTTGTTTTCATATATACTGATTTTTGTTACTTTTTATTCATTTAGTCACAGAAATGCTTATGAACGTGTTAAGTATATGTTCTGATGATGAATTAATGAAGGAAGGTGATGACACGTTTGAAGGTATGCATAAAGCTTTTGTTCAACGTCATGTGAACGATTATATAATACTGATAAGATTAAATATTTAGGTAAAATTTAGATGAACACAGGTGATTGGTGGTTTGTTACTTAGAAAAGATGTTGCGATCACAATGTTTCGCTCAATAAATAGTCAAAGTTGACAATCGTATTCGTTAAATGGCAAATATAAACTAAACGTTTGTTGGCAACTTGTCATTGATTACATGAATATGTTAAGGGGTAATCCGTAGTGTTGGGAATATGCTAATAAATTACTGGACTTTTGTTGCAAACGAATGAAACGGAGGATTCAATTCTACTGAAAATACATACAATGTTTCGCATATTTTATATAGGCAACATATTCCTTTTCAAGAGAAAAGAACTTGAGAATATTTATGTTGTTTGACATTTCTCAACTGTACAAAATTCACGAAACACTAGAAGCTGATTGAGATAGAGCACCATTTTGTTAATAAACAAGCGAAATCTTAGATGTTACTGCTAGAATTTAAGATATCTTACAGGCTTAAGTTGCTCTGATGCCAACAGAATTACTACATTCCATTTTATGCAGATCAAATGGAATAAAACACAACCTTTAACTGTCAGAAGCATCCCATTGAGCCAATTAAGCTTTTACTTCATCTGTCTATTCATAAACATAGATTATTAGTTAAATAATATGATGTATCATCATTGATATCAATACGTCGAGACCATACGGGCATAAATTCGGTTGAAGAAATTCTCAGGCATTTAGACTAGAAACTTTTGGAGCTTCTATAGCGTCCCTATAGTTTTTACGTTGATTTCATCCAACCATTTAATGGTCGTGGATACCTGCCAAGACAGTCAACAGGAATGTGGATGCACATGAAAGGAACACAGTTCTTGAAAACAGCTAATCACGGCTTATTGAAATTCCAAATAACATCTAATTTTATCTGAGGTCGATTTTATTCATTTGGTTTAGAATGATAATGAAAGGTTACGAAACCTCAGCAATTTAATTTTCTACTCACTGCGAAATCGCAAATATATAATATTCATATTATTATTATTATGAAAAACATCCGTTGTTCGATTCACTTGTAAAATTATAAACCAGTGACGTTAAAGAACTCAATATCAACAAAAATATTTTTCTTGCAAAAATTGTTCATCGAATCTATTCATCAACATCATTCGTTCCATATTTGCTCTGACTATACTCTTCTTTTTTTGTTGTTAGTTATATTCTGCTCTTTCGATCATCGGTCACTTGTCAGTGGCCCTTTACTGCTCCAAATTATTTTTTTCTTGATACTCTTTAAATAGTAATATTAATTGCTTATCATTATTATCTCATTTGTATTTCTATATTATTTTTATAAAAAATCAAGGTGGCACTGTAGCTGCTCGTAAAGAAGTGATTCGTAATAAAATACGTGCAATCGGTAAAATGGCTCGTACTTTCACAGTGCTTAGGTAAATGTGTCGAGTGTTGATTCTATGCTACATGAATTCCACTAATTTTTCTAATTTATTTAGTGATCATCAGTATCATTAGATATTCTTATACTAAATGTTACTTGTAAAACATTTACATTAACATTATTCAACACTGAGCTTCAAACTGATGTTTTTCATTGACTTAAGAAAGAGGTTTTTAAGTAAAGCTCAATTTTTATCTTCTAGACTCCAATATATCTTCATTTCGCTAATTATTAGTACATTTGTTGCTTGATGCACTCATCCTGTTTTCAATGATTAAAGAATTTAATTAGATTACTAGTCTATAATTTCTTTATAGAGTATAATTTTTTTGTCGTTATAACTTTGCATGTTTTAGATTTTCCATTGTTTTATTTACAAGGGAATTATCTTCATAATAATGATCATTCTTCAAAACTATGATTATTTGTAGATGTTGTATCTTAAATTAATCAATAATTTTAATAGTTAAGATTATGAGTCAATTGAAGCCAGACCACCATGGGGAACCTGGAAGCACTGGACGTCCGTTCCGTCCTAAATGTTTCGGTGGTAACGTCTCAGACAAGGAAGGTTGTGAAATGCCGTTTCAAGTTCCACAGGTAGCATAAGGTGTTTGAAGATTACACAAGTGAACTTCTAACGAATGACAATTAATATGAAACCTAAGGCTGGAGTATTATTTCAACTACTCCAAACTTCCTAACATAATTACTTCTTTACTTTTTATTATTTGAATAGTTTATCTTCAGTTATCATTAACTTTTATTTTGTATACTAATCTAGCTGAAATATAACTGTTAATTTCTGTCTAAATTGACACAACTTTTTCTGTTTTTATTTAACAAGAAGCTTCTATTTGATCAAAAATGTTATCATGCAGTCAATATGGCATGCGAGAGTATTGAATAAATTGATCAGTTGTTGTTAGGATTTTCGCTGTACCTTTCTATCGTTTCTCTGTTTCTTTTCACTTCACCTATTTTCTCATGACAGTTATCTATCAGGAATGAACTTTTATTTTGTTATTCTTTTTAATCTGATTCTAGTGTATATCGGTTTTTTAATCACTTTTTGGAAATTATCGTTACTTATAATAGATATTTTTTTCTCTGATTCAAACCAAACTTATGTTAGTGAAATTCAGTTACGTGTAAAATGAAACTTGTCAGTGATAACACTAAATGAGGGTTATTGAATATTGTAAGTTGACTGAATTTGGAATATTCGATCAATGAATGCTGATTCAGTAGTCTAAGAGTAATGCACTCACTGTGAGACATTGATATCTTTGGCTTAATTTCTTAAGAGGGGTGTCGTAATTTTAAACCAGAACAAAGCACAATTATCTAATGCTTTCTTCTTATCAATCCTTGTTTAGTCCGTAATATAAATTGTCTTTCAGAGTTAACCAATTCGAACAAGCTGAATAATGTTTTTTGTTAAACAAGATAATTGATATATTTCACAGTGACATTTATTTGGTGTGTTTTCTTTCGTTTTATTTCAATAAAAGTTTTACTAATGAGTAACTATGATGTTCATACACGAAACGAAATCACCTTGTAAAGCACATGGGTATTAATTTACTTAGTTTTTTCCACTAATTAACATATGGTATAAATAAATCATTAAATTATAAACATTCATTAACCACTATTGTCACTGTGTGTGTGTTGATACTATGGTATATTATCAATGGCACTGCTGAACCTACGGATTAGTAACTACATTGGGACGTTCTGAATGATTTGTATGTTATTCACTTTTGAGTAGTATGCGTTCACCGAAACGGAGCATTTGTTTCAGAGAATGTTTCTAGTGAGGATTTTTCAACTTCACTCGACCCTGTAGCTAGTTGAGAACAAGAAATATAGGATATTTTATGTGTTAGCTATATATAAAGTGTTTTGTATAACAGTTTACCTAGGTTATTATTTTTTTAGCAGACACTTATAAAACACTTGTTTCTAACAAACTAAGTGTTTTTTCTAGTTGAAGTATGAAAGTGGTTATTGGTCTGTGATACGTTACTGGCGTTTCTCCAGCGATTAGTCCAGTATGAAGCTGTGATCAATATATTAGGCTGTTTGAATAAAATCTTATCCAAGCTTTAAAAATCGGCCTTCCAAAATCTCAATTTATTTCATCATATTAATCAACTTGTTTGAAGTAATCTTTTAAGGGCAACGATTATTAACTATGTTGAGTGTATATAACTTGTGTTCATGAGACTATTTGTGTACTTCCATGATACATCTATAAATATTATCAATACATTCGTTGTTTTTTTCCTTTTATTTTTCTTCAGAGAAGAAAGTGAATCTGTATTTGAACTGAAAGGTTTGACACCAAATGGGATGCTACCATTAGGTGCATTATCTGGGGGGAAAGAGTCACTAAATAAAGGTATGTTTATTCATTAAGTCGTGTAGCAACCAATGTCTTTGAAACAATGGTCATTTGCTTATCCGTCTTTATTGATGTTTCTGTGCTGATGAGTAATTTTAACTAAAATATTTTTTTGTTTTACTTCAAAATCATTTAGCACTTTCAGGTGTTTCACCTAGAAATAAAATCATCTCTTTTGAGCAAGCAAAAGCATATGATCAGATTAATGAACGTATGCCTCCTAGAAGAGATAGTTCAGCATCAACTAGCGCTGGTACTTCCGTTCGAACGCTTGGTTCTACATCTCGTCAAAGCGATAAAAGACCAGCACCTAATCCACCTATTGTCACTCCTAACACTGTAGATTCCACTCAAATCTCCGGTTATCGGCGTCTCAGCGCGAAAAGCAATACTAGCCGAACAACTGCAGATGAAAACGACATGCATCGTTCGTCGAGCTCTACTGGTCTCCGGAGTAGTAATGGTGAAACTGACGTAAACTCCGTAACAAAATCAGCACATGCTACATTAAATTCGTATCCATCAATTTCATCTAATATTCGAGATACAAATCCTCGAATACCGGCTACTAGCTCTGATAATTCCACTAAAAAATAATTGTTTTTATTTCGTTTTGCTTTCAGTTCAAGTCGTATATAAGTTTTCCCCCTATAAAACCATTTTTCATTCAGAACATTTAAACTTCAAGTCACCCACAATGTTTTTGCCATTATTTAGAACAAAATTTGACCATCTGCCTTTTAGTTTTGTTCGCTTACTGTTTTCTTGTTTTTCCTCGTTCCCTCTGGATTTCCATCACCGATTATTGTTAATTTGCCAGATTTAAATCACATTATTTTTCTCTACAATTGTCTTTCCTTTAAAATCCCTCTGTTTGTTGTTTACCTGCTTGTATTGAAGTTAACTAGTGTTCACAAAGCTGTCATGTTTTTTTTGAATGCTCGATTGTGTGTAAAGGAAATTTGTAAAATACGATCTAAATGTAACAGGGAATGTATTAAAGAAACGGCTATGAATTCCTTATTTCTTGTAATATATATATATATATATATATATATATATATATATATACGTACATATTTCTCATCCAAAATGTGTAAAAACGAAGACAAAAAATATCAAATATTACATTTTGCTACTGAATTTGCTCACACACATACTTACTGTTCGATTTTTCTTGGGGTTGATGAGAAAGGTTTACAAAAATTTACCCCCACTAATGTGTATATAATGATAAACTTGAAAAGTACATTATCGCTTTTGTTGATAGACATACTTTCTTATGTCATATTCGTTGTTGTTTCTACTTATCCAGTTCTGTTTCGTTTTCAGTTTAGTCACTTAAATGAATTCTTGTGTACACATACTATGTTGGTGCTCGAAAGGTTGTTTACTTGAATAAAAGAAACTAGTTTAGTTGAATAATATTAGAAAGAAGTAGAGCTTAGTTCTTCTAATCTTTCAGTATCTTCATCCGTCTGTGTATGTATGTGTAATTACATCTAGTTTTTTTTAAAACAATAGCTGCTGGTTCATACTTTTTTATGTTCCTCTGGTTTGTCCGCTTTTTTGTGCTTTATAAACTTAATTTTTTTAAAGATTTTGATGTATTTTTCACTGTGGAGAGTTTATTGTTTTTTTTCAAAATCTTTATACCTGTTCATTGGTCTAACTAGATGTGTAATGCAAACGATGTTCCTTGTTAAAATATTGTTTCCATAGTTCTCACTCTGGATATACATTTTATGTGTCTGATCTTGCTTATATAATTCTAATAATAATGATATGAGTAATATTATTATTACTAAACGCAACGTAATGATGATAACTTATTCTGTGTATTTTGATTAAATCTATAGTAATTTTATTTTTCCTCTGTTTACCAAATTTTCTAATTTCTCTCATTATCCTATTCACATTGTCGATATCATGAAGATTATGTACTTCGATTATTCTACCTGTGTTATTCTCTTGTGTGCTTTTCCACTAGAATGATCTCACTGTAGTAATTGATGAGATATTTTTCACATTTCTAATGTTTGATCAATAAACAACCACTATGTACGTGTATGTATGAATTGTTTTTCCTCCCTCTTCCTTCTTCTCTAAGTTGTTCTTTGTTGATTTCATTTTGTTCTCTGATTATTATTACTTTTATTGGTTTGCGTTGAGTCTTCTACTTAAGTTAACTCGTCGTTTATTTCTAAAAGCAAACGTATAAACTGCACTTGTGAATTTTCGTTCTCCATACAAAACTAATAGTCAGTTATAACGTTCTGCGGAATACAGCGGAAGAGCAACACGTCGTTTTACATGATGATATAAAGAATGAACGTGATCACTGATTTTGTTGTTTCTCATCGTATTTATATGCTAATACACTCCTTTCATCTTGTTCTCGTTTGTGTTTGTTAGAACTGATGTCAATATTTCTTCAATTTTCCGCTTTTACAAATTCGATTCATTAAAACAATAGAGTAATTCGCTTAGCGATAAGTAAAAGCTATTTCAAATTTCTTCTCTTTCCAGAAAAAGAAAACACCAGTTAAGATTTACTTTGTTTGTTCGTATTTTCTATTTTGTACATTTTTTGTGTGTGCGAATTTTCCGTATTTTTTTCGCACAATACAACATAACATAAATGGACCATAAAAATTATCTGCCAAACAGAGCATAGAATAACACCTTTTATCATCTTCAATATTAACTACATCTTTTTCCCCCTTTTTAAAATTTATCGTAATTTATTTCGATTCTTCCTATCGGTCTATTTAGATGCACTATCTACTTATTTATATATCTGTTTTGTAGACAATAAGATTCTTCAAGAGTATTAACTAAGTTTCAGTGTATACCCTACTACGAAACACAGTGATTTCTTCAATGTTATTCATCACTTTATGATATTTTAAGATTAATATGCTTCATTTTCTTTACTCTTCTCACCTTTTTTTTAATCATATTGTACTGTCTCAATTTTATGAACCAAGTAATTAATTTTGTTCTTAAGCGTATTTTTCCTATAAATAATCGAAAATTCTAGAAAACAGAACATCGTGTAAAGATAAAAAAAGAGAACCAAACTTCTCACTTATCGATTGTTGATATATGTTACCAAAAACGGTGATAATGCAGTGTAAAACAAATAGTATCAAACTAATCGTACACATTTTATTGTATACGTGTATTAGTTTGTTCGTGTCTATTCCTCAATGAAAATGTTAATGAATTACCAAGTTTAATAACTGGAAATACGTCATTTTTGTTTTATTCCAATTGTTTAATTAATAATATTGTTATGTTATGATTATTCCCTCTTCCTCATTTTATATTCATTATTTCTTTCTCTTTCGTTCATCTATTCATTTATTTATAATATCGTGAATCAATATTTCAGTATGATTACGTCAAGAAAATACATTTTAATGGGTGACCAATTAGATCAAGAGTGGAACAGACACTGTTTCTCATTTCGCTTAACTAACAAATAGTGTTTGTGTTTATTTCCTTTCATTTGATTCATTTTAATATGTAATCAGAAAAATAATAACATCCGAAAATGAATTTAAACAGATGTAATTTTATCTGAGTTGCCTTTTTGTGTTATTTTACAGTGTGAACTCCTTGTTTAATTTTTTGTGTGTTTGTGTTTCCTCCTTCCATTTTTGCTTGTTTATTTTCGTCGCCTGCATACACACGTGCATGTGATCGACTTCCGACTTATAGTTTCGGTGAAACTGTCTCATCATTTGATTCGTTAGTTTCATTTCCAAAATTTACGATTGTACATTATTTGCTTTTCTTGATGAATGACCTAGTCTTTCTATTTTAAAGGCAACTAAAAAAAAGAAGGGGGATCTGACAAATACTTCTTGTTTTCTGAATAAAATCCACCATCATATATGTTTACATTATGAAAAGTTGTCTGCAATTCTCTTTTTCTTAGTATTTCCGTATTTTTTTTCCTGTTCACAACACATACAATGATGATTATAGCCAGTTTGTTTTATTTTAATTTTTGACTTGTTTTCCTATTTTTCATAAATGTTCTCTGATATGTGTGTGTGTGTATGTTTATGACATTCTTGTAATTTTTACTGTCATTATAATTGCTACCATCATTGTTAGCATTAATATGACACATTCGCTTATGACGATATTGACTGCTACTACTAATTGATACATCAGGCTCTAATTTTGTTCTATAATATGGTGTTAATAAACTGTGGATTTGTGACTTATTTTTTACTATTTTCAATGTTACTTGAGATGATTATATATAAATATACTTACTGGTCTTCTGCTAATGACACGCTTAATTATAGACAGACTTATGACGCAGTTTTTTGTGTTTATTTTTAAGAAGCGCGTTCCTTTTATAATTGAAACTATCTGATTTTCTCTGAGGAATAGCTTACAAAATTTATTTACAAATATATTTCATTTAGACTACCTTAATGCAGTAGTACTAGTAGTTCCCAGTTATAAATGTGCCAGATTCGTTAACCAGAGATCAGTGTTTGAATTTTTTTTGCATTCTACATTTATTATAGAATATCATCTTAAAAAATTACTAAAAGTCAGATCTCACTGAACAGATAGTTTGTCTCAACATAAGGCTCCTCAGTGGTCGACATCCATGACTCTCTCAGTGATCGAACCCAGGTTTCACAGCAAGCTGGCTGCCTGACACAGTTTATTTGAATTCAGTGATTTGCGTATCAATCTAATTCACTGGGTGTAGCGAGACGGTCATCAGTGGTGATCATCTCATTCTCCCACATGGAAACATAACGTTTAAACCCCTAATACTAAGATAAAATGTTGTTCAGTTCTTCCTAATTCCTCAACTCTTGTTTAAATGTTATTAAAATGACTGGATTGATATGATTCGAAATGAAGATATAATCTTTGGGTCTGGTAAAAATAGTAGCATGACCAAATAACATAATTTGATTATGTGATATTTAATAGTTAATACTCGTGATTGTTTGAGAAAAAGATAATTCTATCATAATTTTTCTGGGATTAGTGCAGAATTATACAACATTCAACCACACACTGGGCATAAAGTGGATAAAAAGAACTAACAAACACGACCTATAAATAAAACTCATGAAGAAATAATGGAGATCGTAAAATTCACATGACACATAACCAAATATTTTACTGTCATCAAAACAAACAGACAGTTTATTGTATTTATTCTTTGAATGTCATGAACTGTCTGGCATTATCTTTGTATGAAGCTATCAAATTCACCAGGCTTGGGCTACTACCGCGATATACTTATTTTGATTTTAAGAAATTAGTTGATTCTCTTGCTCAGCTGATATAACTATAAAATTATTCCACTTGTGTATTATGTAATTGAGAAACAATAGATTACTTTCAATAGATAAAACGTAACTACTCGTCGTGAAAAGTGGGATTCATTAAAGCGTGGTGTCATTTAAATAGATTAGGTAAATATTTACTGATATAAAGAAATGTTTGTGTAGAGCTCAAGGTTTACAGCAAAATAACGGATGCAGTTGAATAGGTTTAATAGAGTTTCATTAATTTACTAAGTATTTAGTCATCGTAGACTGGTCGAAGCTAAGCATATTTATACTACGAAGGGCTCGACAGCTGCTTCTTTTTAATATAAGACTTCAGCGATGCACACTCATGTTCTCCTCAGTGATAGAAACCAAAATCTTAAGTTCAATGACAAAATCAAGTGACTTATATAATCATGCCACTTCCTACCCACCTAAGTTCTGCCTAGAGTAAATTTTCCATGAAAACTCATTAGGACTACGTTGTTTTGCATTAGCTTTGTCGTACTTAAGATCACATCTTGATTGCTTTGGAATTTTTAGTCTGAATTTATAACTGTTTATTGACAAGTTATTGGCTTCAGTAGAAATGTTTTTTGAATTGACCATATTCAAATCAATGACAATACAATGATCTACTTTTCAGTAGCTCTTGGAATAGAAAAGATGTTTTTACATATTCATTAGAAGCTTGCAAGAGGATTTTGTGAGCACCTAGTTGATCAATATGATTTAACTTTACCAAATAAGGAATATCAATATTGCTTCTGCTTGTTGTATAAAATGCAGTTTGACAAAATACAATCGATATTAAATATTGAAATCATGGTTTCCTGTTATTCTAACAGTGGTGAGTAGTAGTATTTAAGAAACCCTGAATCTGAGTGTCGTGCTAGTTAGTACTCAGCTGGGTGTATTTGTACTCTTGAGGGAACTGATGCTCCTATCCGGCTTTACAGTCTGAGACGTTACCATTATGATGTTCACGGTTGATTGGTCATTGATTAGTGACTGATGTCATGTTTGTTTAGTCCTTGAAGTGTAGGTTCAAATCCTATACAGATCATCGGCTCCCTCGAGATTACAGATACGTCTTGCTGATGATTGCCCACTAGCACAAAACCTAGATCCAGGATTTTCTATCGGTTATGTCCAGCCATCTCGCATTTCAGCACACAGCATAATATTTTGAATCGTTCATGCTGATGATATTACTTCACCCTGGTCAGTTTAATCCTATAGACTCTATAAACAACCTGATAAACATGACACTGATCACTAAGTGATTAACTTATTGTATGTATTTGTTCAGTTTCGACATCTTTTTAAAGAAATAACTGAATAAATTCCTGTTTGCAATTCATTGTTTTCTATTATTCTGCTTAACTGGAATTCAGCAGTACTAATTTTATCATGCTTTTAATTGGTATTAGTTCATTAACTGGATAAATTTGCACTTAATTCTGAATTCACTTAAGTTGAATCAGCCCTATATCGCTTATTATTTTTTTCCAAAAGCTTCCTTCCCTCTGAAAGCATAAGTATATCTAGTTCATTCTAATTAAAGTACTAGAAATTGTTAATGCTTATATTTGTCCTAAATGGCTATTCTTACTTGTCAAACATTTAAATGCTTACCTTAAGATTTTATTTATCAAGTGCGTTCAGATACTAACTACTAATTATATTCTTTGTGAATACGGTTTTGGATATGTTCAGTCCAACAAACAATTTACCGCTCATATATAGTTCTTTAGTGTATTGTAGTACCTGGAAAGGATTGCCCAAGACAGGGTTGGATGGAGAACGCTGGTGGGTGGCCTATGCTCCTCCACGAGAGGTAACAGGCGTAAGTAAGTACTGTAGTAACTGTTTACTAAACATAATGAAGTTGATCACTAGTAAGAGACAGAACTTGTAGCCATACTGTGGGTTGATTATGATCGTATCGACAAGAAATCACACTCATCTATTTTCCTCTATGCATTCTGTTCAGATTACACATGGTATAATAGTTAATTTTGGTTAAATGCTTTCAGTTTTCTTAACATAATTCCTGTCTGTTTTACTCATTCATATATAATCTCGTGACAGTGTATGTGCAGACATAAACATGCTTTTAATAGTCATATTTGTTGACATTGTCAAAATAGTATTAATTATTATTCGCGCGTAAATCGATTCTTCAAGTAAAATGTCGAAAGTACGGAATATAAACATATTCACAATTATAAAACTCTATAGTAGATAACAAAACATTTTGATATTATTATAACCTTTTAAACAAAAACAACCGCCAAGGTAATTTGTCCATGAGTATGAAAAAAATATATACTGAAAAGTTAATGACGCATTTACATTCAATATCTAGGATTATACGTCATATATTTGTATTTTACATTAACCAGTCACATGTTTGTGTACTGTTCTTATGGTGCTAATTCACATATACATGGTAAAAACATACTTGAAACATAAGTGATATTTTTTTACTTATTTGTGGAGAAGCTTATTGTAAATGCATAGTTGTCATCAACTGAACATGCCCAATATGATTGTATTTAGTTGTTTATAAATTAGACTTGGAATAATTTCATTGTTATGTAACTTCCCTTTTTTTTAAAAAAAACGTTTTAATCAGTGTTTTTCACTATTCTACTATTATTATTTTCAGTTAAGAAGCATAGCTCCTTTAAATAGTCTTATGTCATGTTAGATGGTTGTAGGACGTCAGAAGAAAGCTCATGATCTAAATTTTGTTCAGTAAAGTAATATCTGGTCTCGAAAAAAGCTGGTTCTTACCATATAATCCAAACCGGCCTCACCCAGAGTTGCAGTTTGAAATGTTAGTACTGAGATATTCTGGCTGAGAGTTATCTGATATAAGATATATATATATATATATATATATATATATATATAAACTGGTGAGAAGCTACGTTCATCATGTTTGTCTAGTCCTCTAGTGTTAGTCGGATTCCGTTGTTGTCGAAGTTCCATTGTGACTAATAACTATCGGTTAAGGGCTTCGGCTCGAAACTGGTAGGTCCTGGGTTCGAATCCCGCGAGAGTGGGTTAGTGGATGCGCACTGTTGAGGAGTCCCACAGTAGAACGAAACGGCCGTCCAGTGCTTCCAGGTTTTCGATGGTGGTCTAGCTTCAATTGACTCATGATTTCAACTTTGAAAAATACTGAAATCTCCACAAATCCCCTTCTAATAACTAAATGGCTCACAATTTCATGTCAAACATGATTTGATTTTACTTATATGATGACTTGAAGTTCGAAGGATTTTATTTTCTCGTTTTCTAAACTTTCAGTGGTATGAAAATAGGATAATGAAAACGTTAAGTTTCACAAAACTACTGCACCAAATACTTATATGGACAATCAAATGTTAAGCTGTTGTATTGATAAGTTCTGGATGAATTGGATTAATGAAAAGGTGAATATAATTGAACTAAACCGAACATATCACGATACGCAAGTTGGGATGGTTACTATATGTTTATTATCTAATGCATCATTCATGATGATGTGTGAACAAAAATTTGTAAACATTATAAAACACAAATTGCTTAGCTTGTCTGTAAAGAATAAGGCATAACTTATTTTCAATTCTTTTGTTTTTGTATTTGTGAAGGCTTGGAATTGTGAAATAAATTTGTCTTTGTCAAAAGCTGCGTTGAAATTCCTAACGAAACTTTCAGTCAATCTATCTATTTATAGTATGCTACAATTCAAAATAATAGCAACGGATTTCGGCATCAAACAGAAGGGCTTCTAAATGCAATCAAATTTGCTAGTGTTATATAACATGTGTAATCTCTTATTATATTTACTGACTGAATAACAAGTTTCTAATACGAGAAACATGAAAAATATTCTGATTGTTGAAAATGTTTATGAAATGTAAAAACTGTATACTGGAAATTTAATAGAAGCATTGGAACTTCTATAATCACTTATAAAATTTCATTCAGCTCACCTGTTTTACTTTCACTGAAATTGTTTTTGTGTCAACATCTTTGGAAACAATCCTGAAGTATATGTAGATAACTTTAGGAAGGTACAATTTATTGTTGTTTATTCACTACTACTACCACGTACAAATCATTAAAGTGTTTTGAATTATA